TAGAAGTGTTCTGGTAGAACCTAACAACAATTAGGGTTAGTTCTACCACACACACTGTACAAACTATCAAACAGTATTTGGCTGTAGTCAGGGAGATAAAATCGGATTGGATTAAAGTATCTTAAAATAAAATGAATCGGAGTGACCAGGATATTTAGAAAAGAGTGGAAATAACAGTTCCTGGTGAGCACCTGTATAGAGAAGGCAGTAAAGAATGACCTGCTCCCCCAAATGGACACAGTCCCTGTTCAAGGAGGTTTTTTTTTTTTTTTGGTATTTCCCTTCAGTAGCAGCTGTTGGGAGGGCATGGAATCTAGATAGGAATAAAGTCCTTCTGAATTTGGGGGTCACATCCTACTGAGATATTGAGCTGGTTGAAGTTGATGTGCAGGAACCTGTTTCTGGACAGAATTGGATAATCTGCTTGTAGCTCTAAATCAATGGTCTGCTGTTTAGGTTCTGCTAACACCCATTCATATCCCATCCAGGAGAACAAGAAAACATGTAAATCCAGGCAAGTAAATCCAAGTTTCTTTTTCAAGAAGGCCAGCTTCATGTCAAAGGACCGTATTTGAAACCCAGTGGAGTGCTGGAAAGATGGTCCTCAGGAACTTAGATTGAACTCTTTCCAAGAAAAGAAAAGACCTGTAGGGTCCCAGTTGAGCTCCAAACAGGAGCTGGGCTCAAATCTTAGCTGAGAAGACTTTAACTGCTGCAGGTAGTTAAAGTTAAATATACTGTGCATCTTTAAAGAAATACAAAGTTTGTAAGGTTGACACTGTTTTTTGTGGATTTAAGATGACATAGTTGGCATGTGATTAACAGTTACCCATAGCATGAAAGACAATCCCCAAATATTTGAAGGATTTAACTTGCTCAATTAGATAGTTATTAAGTTGCCAAATATGCATTTTAGGGTGCTTGGCAAAAACCACAACTTTGATTTTAGAGTAATTAATTTCTAAACAATCTTTCTGGCAATGCTCAGCTAGTACATACATACAACACACACACACGCACATTATATATGTGTGCAGAGGGGCTAGTAAGCCATCCAGAGACTTAAAATTGGATGGCATATTAAAAACTTTAAATAAATAAATAACTCCTTGTCTCACTCCCCTTTTAACTGGAATTTCTTTAGTGCTGCGTTCTTGGACATTGCAGCATATATTCATCTGTTAACTGAACAGCCAGTCTCCTTACTGTACACAAAAGGTAGCATTAGTAGGATTTCTTGTACTTCATACCTCAGCTTTTATTTCCTGTGAAAAACGATACCTTGAATTTTTAAAACTCAAAACACTTATTTGTTGGTGACGATGCAAGAAATTGCATTTCAAAGGAGCCAGCCAGGAGCAGGAAGCCGCCCAGCACTGGGTACTCCTTCTGAGTGGGACTTTGTGGGGGGGGGGGGCTGGAATTATGGCTATATCTTATTATTGGTATTATTCATCGTATTATATATTATATTGATATTATGTATTCCATTATGTATTATTAAGGTTTGTTTGATTTTTGTATTGCTTACAGTTAAATATTGCATTGCTTGATTGTATTGCTCTAAAGTACAAATGGATTTTTATGGAATATGTTTTTTTGTTTTGTTCTATTGTAAGCTGCCCTATGGGCTATGGGGCAGCATACAAATGAAGTGAAATGAAAAAATGAAAGAAGAATTCAGATAAAAGTAATCTTTTATCAATTGAAGAATAGTTCAGTTTCTCAGTTTGGATCTGGAGATGAGGTCAAAAGCACATCCAAGGTCAATGAATGCTGCACAGAGTGAAGAGCATGCTCCAGATGAATATTTCTCAATTAGATGTTGCAGGTTTAGTGCATGGTCCATACTTGAATAGCCTTCCCTAAGACTGCCTACTCATCAGCCAAAATATTCTGTTATAACCCAGTCCTGAAGCTTATAATACAAGTGTCTAGCGTAAAGTTTTCTAACTGTACTAAGGAGGCTAATAGAGTGGTAATTGGCAGGTAGATCTCTCCTTCCTTTTTTAACCCTCCCTTTTTTAAACAGAAAAAAGGAATACAGGTACATACAATTGAAATACAAATACATACCATTCAAAATATATCAATAATATTAACACCTAAAGCCCAACTGATAACTAAAAATAACAATTTACACTGTGCACCCACTCCCCAGGTGACCAGTTATTACCTCCATTTCATTTCATATAACAATTAACAGTATATGCTATACTACAGTTATACCCACATCCCCTCCAGAAATCCACATATTCATGAATAAGCTCACACCCTTTACCTTCTATCAATACTGCTTTTACAAAATCTTCCCATATTTCATTATATTTATTTACTTTTATTATCTCCTTTTAAATTTTTATTTCTGTTGTCAGTTTATCATTAACTACCATATTCCATTATACCATTCATGCCTTTGCATAACCCGGTTCTGTTTCTAGTATTTAACCATCACTAACTTGGCTGCCATTATCAAGTTTAGGATCAATTCTTTCTTAAGTTCATTTATATCTTGTTTTTCAATCAACAGCAATAACAAAATTCTTGGTGACATTTCTAAATTTATATTTAGAATTTCTCTAATTTCATTAAACAGCATAATCCACATCTTTTGTATATTATCACAATCCCACCACGTATGTTTGCAAGTTCCAATCCCTTTCCCACATCTCCAACAAATATTAAAATATTCATCATCAATTTGGTTTAACTTAACTGGTATTAAATACCATATCAATATCACTTTATATCCATGCTCTTTAATTCTAACCAACATATTCTTATATACTCTTCTGTTCCAAATATTCTTCCAATCCTTGCCTTTTTATTTCACCTACGTCCATTTCCCTAATTGATTTTAAGCTCTTTGTCTCCTTCCTCTTTTGTAGATTGGAATCACCAAGGCTAGGCCCCAATCCTCAGGAACCTTAGCATGGTGAATAAGGAAGCCAGAACAAGTACCCACCAATCTAAATTGTTTTGAATAACCTCCACTGAAATGAAATCATACCCAGGAGGTTTGTTTGGTTTCAGATAATCAGAATTGCAATTCAGTTTTGCAATTCAGTGCCTGATACAGGAGGCCAGGAGGGGAGCAGATGAACTTCATAATCTAGTTCCCTCTTTGGATAGGGCAGTTTCTCCTGTGTATACCACAATCTGAAATCATCTTCCCAGACTGAAGTGGAGATAAAGGATGAAATTTGTGGCTTAAGGGAAGAAGATTTATGAGTTATGAATTTCTAGAATAATGCAGTTCTTAGAGTGAGTGGTAAAGATTAGTTGGTTCCAGAAGTATATCAAGGCCTGCCTCATCTTTGCCTGTAATAGCTGTTTATATTTCCTCTTGAGTAGGAGCAGGTCTTGGATTGGGTAGAAGATCCCTTTTGTATTCCTTAAAACAGGAAATTACTTGTTTTTTAGCCATATGGCAGTCACTCTCAAACCATGGTTGTTTAAAGGAGCTCTGTTTCTTCTTAATACCAGATGGATGGGTTGAAAGGATTGTGTGGAGACACTGAATTAACTGGGTATAAGATGGCAGAATCTGATCGGTGGATTTGTCATCCAAGATGTGTGCAAAGTTGAACTACCTCATTGGAAAAGAGCATTTGGGTTAGTTTCTCCTTTGTCTGACCTGTCCATTTTGTTCGTACTTGTCCCCTGAGGATATCTTCACATGGAATGGGGTAAGTTATTCCAAAAGGAGATATCAAAGGGCTTCAAAAGCAACACATTAGAACAGTGATCACTCTCACTTTCATGTCAAGTGAAAATTCCAAAAGAAGCTGAGCTACAGTGTAAGAAACCTCTGAACCCACAGAAAATAAGGTCAGAGGGCAGGGTGAATGTGCTGGCAACCTCTCCTCTGCAGAAAAGCCTAAGTTCCAGAGGAATAAATGGAGTGCAAGTTCAAATTTTGCTTTAACAACAGAAAGGTTAAGCAGCTTTGGCATTCCCAAGGTCTGTGAAAGAAGAAATTTATTTTATGCCCAGATAAGGATCATTCAAAGTGATCATAATGACAAGGATCATTGTGAAGGTGAAAAAAAGTGTCAAGGAAGGGACAATAAGAGCGATTAACAGTTCTTAGAGAGGCCACTTTTGGCAGAATTTCTTTCCCAATACATATTCAGGTAATTGAAGTCCCCCGTTACTACCACATCATATTTCCTTGAAATACAGGCAATTTGCTTTTCACAAGTTTTGTCCTCATCTTCTCTTTTATTGTGTGGTTGGTAGTAGACTCTATCATATTCCTTGACACATTTGGTTTGCCCCAGATGCTCTTGATGGGGCTACCAGGTTCATCTTTCTGTATTTCTTTGTAGGGGTAAGTATTTTCAACATACTTTTAACATCTTTCCTACATGATTGTGAAGACTATTTTGGGGTACTACTAGAGTTCTGATAGTTGCATACCGGAGACCATGAAAACCATGATCCTGTGTTAAGACAACATGACAAGTCATGGTGGTACACAGAAACCACAGAATAAATCATTCTTTCTCATCATTGTTTCTCAAGTCCACATTAACCATGATGAATTATCATGACCGGGTTCAGACATGACAGACAACAATGGTAAAAAACCACCATGGCTTGTTGCATTGTCTTAACTCAGCTATAAGTAATAAGTTCTGCATCTGGGATCATCCCTAAAGAGAGGGGAATCAGCCATTTATTTTGTTGGGGATGATCCCAGGTATAAAGTGCTAATTTCCATCCAAATCTGTATGAAATCTGTATATCCTGAAAGAATGGTTATGCTATCTAGCTGATCTATTCTAATAATCTGTTTGCAAGGAATATAAACTGGATTTCAGTTTCAAGTCCCCACCCTACCCCAGAGTTTAAAGCTAGAACATCTTCCATGTAGTGGTTTCCTAAGAGAATCAAAAAGTGCTTAACAATATGGATTTCTAAAGACAATTTGCACTAGGCTTCATTAGTTCTAGTAGAGTTGCTAGATTAAGTTGAAAAAAATCCTGTAAGAGATATACAAAACAAAATGTTTATTATTTTAGTTTTAAGTATTTTTCAAAGATTCAGGGATGTATAGGAAAGTAGAGAAAGCATATACAGAATCAAAAATAAACTTGCAGCTGAGCAGATTTAAAAATAAATTGATAGCATTATCATTTTATTTGTGAATAATTAAGCCACTCATTGATGTATAGTCACATGAAATGGAACTTTAACTTAAATGCTACTACTTTCTTCCTTATTGTTTCTTGAGATATTATGCATATAGTTAGGTTTTGCATCATATTTAGCTATTTCACAAGATGCTTAGTTTATTATTTCAATTTTTTCTAAGCACACTGTTCAGTTGAAGAATAATCTTTCATAGACTGTTGTCCTCTCTTGTTGCAACAATTTTGGCCCATTATCGTTCAAGAAACAGATCTATTACCCAGCCCCAACAATGTTGATCTAAAACAAGCCTTTCTTGTCAGGATTTTAATAACACAGCTGGTTTCATTTCCAAAACTGTCCTGAGAATGGCATTTTAGAAAATAGATAAAATAAAATCTTAATTGAACCAAACTCTTCCCTGGGTAGCCTACACCGTTAAGGTGTTTGTCTGACGTGACCAAACTATACACTAAAGTAAGTAGCTACAAGAATAGACCTTTTGGAACATGTAGTTAATAATGAACCAACTCAGTTGTGGCCTCAGTGGATCACTTCTAATTAGCACTGCCTAAAGGAAAATGGCTTTTGACTGAACAGGCAGCAGAGTATTTCTACGCTTAATTTGCTCTATTGGGCTGAAATCCTAAAATGGAGCTACGGCAACACAAACTGGTAATTTTTCACTGCAAACAATGGGGAAAGGCTCAAGAGTGTTGTCAGATCAGGGCAAACTACTGTTGTTTAGCACAGCAAGTGAAAACATGACATCTTAAGGCCACAAAGTCTGCTCTTCGAAGAAAAGGGCTTGACAAAACTCATTGTGTCTGCTGCGTGTTACCCCTGGGGTCACACACAGTGGAAGTCAGTTATGCATCTGTTTGCTGTTTGTTAGTCTTCTTCAGGAGCTTTCTCAGATTAGATGACATGAAGTAAGGCTTTTCGGTAGAGCCATCGTTACGTTCCAGGTCTTCCACTGCAAAGAGACACAAATCCCCCCAGCAAAGGGGTGTGAAAAGTCTGCCTTACAACTAACAGATGGCAGATACCTGCAGCTGAATTTAAGGGAAGTCTTGACCATTGACTATATTGAGCCATAGAGGTGGAGTTTCCCCCCAAGATACAAAATACATCCCACTTAACATGTATCAGAATGAGGACAAGACAGTACTGGCAGCTCACTCCTCCTGTCTAGCAAGGAAGATTGTGCAGTTGCTCACTATGGAAGATCTGGCCGAGGATGGGCTTCGCTGAACCCTGTCTCAGTGTGAGGGGATATATCAAATCATTTTCAGAGCCACATTAGTGACCAAATGAGTCTACATGTCTAATCTCTGAATTCTGAGAAAAATAAAAGTTTGCCTCTCCTGCAGTTCAGTTACCAACGGTAAATGTTTTAAGCTAAAAGAAGCTGGTATTTTAAATGCTGCGCATTTGTCTTTGGCCATGCCCACCACTGGAAAGTGGCCTCCAGTAGCTTTTTTGACATGGAATCCAGCCCTCTGGCTGAAAGAGGTCAGACAACTCTTGAATAAACTCTGAATATCACTTTTTTAGGGACAAAAATTAACAGAATAGCATTAATTTTAAGAATCAAAAACCAAGGGTAATAGCACAGGCTATTTCATGCACTTTTAAAAAAAGTGACGTGTTTTTCTCTGGCCCATCTTAATTTTCACAGGGTTGACCATGGACATGGAAGGTACAAAATATGGTAGTTCAGTCTCTCTTTTGCAGGAACTGCCATTAAGGGCATAAGAGCCCTGCTGGATCCAAACAAAGGCCTACCCAGTCCCATGTTCTGTTTATAAAGAAAGTATAAAAAGCCCAATAGCACCATCCCACTTTTTTGCCAGCAACTGCCATGCAGAGACATACTGATTCTGCTAGTGGAGGTAACAGATAGCCATCATCCTCCATGAATAAGGCAGTGGCACGGGGTTACAGAGAGGGGGCCTAGCTCGCTCAGGCTAGTCTGTCCAGATGGATTCTTCAGATTCAGAGGAGGTGGCAGAGGAGCAGAGGCAGGCATATGTCACCTGTCGCCTTTGCAGTTTCAAGGTTACAAAGTGGAGATACCAGCATGAGAACCAGCCTGCCTTGGAAAAGGAGGAAGACATTTCAGACCAGAAAGGGTGGAATCTGAGGGCGACTGCTTTGATCCTGCCAGGAGGTGACAGGTGAAATGTGTTGGTAAATTAAATAGCATCTGACATTCGAGCTGTCTAGCTTCACTCAGCAGGAGCCACCCTGAGCATGGAGTAATGGTCTTTCTGAAAGGGAGAGGGGAGCAGATAGATGTTCTAGGTTGGAGTCAGCTCTTCACATGGGTAGATGATACTCCTACATCTCAAAGGGAATGTTACTTTATGCAGTTTATCACCTGTACAGGCGGACTGTGCTTCTAAGATTTCATCTAAGTCTGCTGGGGAGGAAAAAGGGCAAGGGAGCGATGTGCTCCTGACAGCTTTTTTGCTCCACTTATCCTTTCTTTGGAAATTTTTTTAAAATCCTTTTTTTCCTTCTAGCTGTCTGGAAGCATTATATTTTCCTACTCATATATATAGATAATGCAGTGCATCTTAGTGATGCAAGTAAGTGATAGGTAAATTCTAGAAAAGATCCTGGCCTCTCATGTGAGCACATATTAGACCTGCATCCAGTCATCTCCCTTTACAAAGGGTCTGTGGAGCCTTCTGTGTTTTCAAGCTGAGATCAGGGAAAGAGAGCAGGAGAAGACATGTGGATACAAAGCCATTAGAACAAGAAATAAGCAAATTCTTCACACAGGATCTGATCAGTCTGCTCAGGTCTGGCTCAGCTGCTCCAACAAGGTCTAAAACAAATGGACTTCTGCTCACTCAATGAAAGTTTACCTTCCTCTCCTCTCCCCTAAGCTTCCCAATGTCTACCCTGAGCCCCAGATTTCTTGGTAGAAAGGATACAAATCAATCAAAATGAACACATTTACTCTAAACTTTTGGGGGACTTTCCAAAGCAAATTTGGGGGATGACATTTATTAGCCAGGAGTGTCTGTTTTAGTGGTGGAAGAAAACTATTAATTACAACAAAGAATTCCTAGAAAAACAAAGTGAAGACTTCAAATCCTTTGAAGGACATACTTCCAGCCTGGCTCAACAACACAGCACTCAGGCTGAAACAGCACCATAGATTGGCAAATAGCTGAAGGCAGTTTGAACGAGGACAAAGTGCTCATGGTATGTACACTTATTCCACTTTTGCTTCTGCTAAACAGAAGTTATAGGTTTCAAAAATCTGTTGGTCAGAGTCAATGGCAGAACAAAAGAAAATTGTTGCAAAGCTTTTGCTTAAGCACTTTCGCTTCTCTTAAAAACACATCTGCCTTAAGTCTGAAACAGGTAGGGCCATTGGTCTCATGAAATGGTACACAACAGAATTATCAATAGAATGTGGGGAACCTTTTGGAATCCTTAAGAGTCTCCACAATTCATTTTGGAAAAAAAGTTTCTTGCTCTCATGCTTATGGAATCATCAGTGCCTCTCTTATCAATTTAGTTTCCTCTGCTGCTTTTTGCATGTTTGTACCAGAAGCAACCATCAAAGATAACAGACATCAAGGGAGATATAAATAAATGAGGCCATAACAATTTGTCATTTTAAAAAAACAATCTTCCTACACGAACATTTACTCAAGTTTACAACTTGAAATTGCAAGCTGGTTTACATATTCATAAACAGTTGCTCTATCTTTCTGTTTCAATAAGAAACTTTAACTGGATAATATACTTCCTGATGCACAGAGAGCCACCATGAAGGACACTGCTTGGAAGTTAGTATCTCTTTAATAAGGCACTGACTTTCCCAAGATAAAACCTGAACTTTTGTCTACCAAGGACATGATGCAGAGTGCATCAACCATTCTCAAAAAAAGTTCTTATTCCTTTGCAACTGTATGGCCTCCTTTATGTTATCTTGCCACTACAACTACTATTCCCCTTCACCATTTCCTAGTCCTTCATTCCTCCCAACCCAGAAAATTCATGCACTGAATTTTTAGTTCAAAACTGACTGGTGTTAATGTGTAGTTCTCTGGCATAGGGCAAAACCAGTCCAGATTACAGGCTAATAGACTAACAGACATTTATAAAAGCAGAAAAGATTTAAACTCCAGTGTTATGTATTACCAAGTGTATATATTGTTTTGCATTTTCAGAAATGAAACCACCTAGTTTTAATTAGTTGTAAGAAGGAACTATCAGCTATAAATTTCCAAGATTCTTGAAAACTGCAGAAAAATGTGCTAGAAATCTCAAAGGCATGTTTTGACCACAATCCAACACAGGGTTAGGTATGCTAGCACCCAACTACTTCAATAGGCTGGAGCACACCAAACATTATGTTAAATTTGGGCCATATTGTAGAAGGAGACGTGTTATAAAAATGGTAATTTCTTCCTGCATCAAGACAAGCTTTATAAAGAGGCAAGTATAGCTATTTCTACACCAGATTACTCTGTAAGCAGCCATACACTCAACAGCATGCTCGAGTTTTAGCTCAGTTCACTAAGTGCAATAATCCAGGGCAGCAGGCTTCCACAGCATATGCAACACTGCTTGACGCTGAAACAAATCTCAAAAGCTTCTGGTTACTGGTGAAATAACCATTATTTTAATAGATCTGTCAGCCTCCAGAGAAAGGGTTCCACAGATTTGTAGGAAGAACTTCAGGACAAAGGCAACTTATGGCTAACCGAAATGCCATTGCTTCCAAGGTATTTAATCTCTGTCTCTGTGTTGATCCAATCCACTGAGCTGCTGCTCAGTTTCTCAAGCCAGAAGCACGTCTCTCACCTCCATTTATGTCTGCCTAATGGGGATTCATGTGCAGTTTGATGTTTCCACTTACTGAGATTGTTTAACTCGCACAGCTAGCCCCACAGAAGGCCACTGAACCTCAGCAATTTTGAATCTTCTGCCTTTTTGGAATCACAAAGCAAGCATGCTTAGAGGTCACAAACAGATTTTAAAAAGTGACTCATTCCCACTTCTGCCTAATCAAAGAGGTGAAAAAAGCTAGAAAAGAGCTGAAATATAAATATCTACAATACCCATTTGTACTGTATGCATGTATTCTGTTTAACACTGTTTAAATAGCCAGCTTTGCTATAAATATGACATCTTGAAGAGGGCAAAGAACAACCCTGTATGGTGCAACAATGGAAAAAGTGGCCCATTACCCAACAGTATATTAAGGGCACAATCCTATACATGGCTGGGGTACACTGGAAGTTGTAGGACATTTATCTACCTAAACATGCATAGGATTGCACCCTAAACCTCCAATTTCAGTTCCATTCCTTTGGTGCTGAAATATTTTCTGGGTAGAGGCAGGTTATATATCACAGTCTCCTGTTTGCTGGGTACAAAAATCACAAGCATCATCCTCAACCTCCTGGAGCATCAACATTAGAAGGTGGGCACCAGTGCTTAGGGTAGCCATGATGGAACAGCCCTTGCACATTGATCAGACATGTGCATACAAGGCCTGCATTGGGACATCTGCATATGCCTTTCCCACTTGGTACACTCTTCCCTATTCTTGGCTCTCAGCACTTTTGGAAGACTCTAGAGTTCCTTTCAGCAGGATTTCACTCAGTGCAGGGGACATGTAATAAGGTCGCTCAGGTGATCCATCGTTCCTTTCCAGATCTTCACCTTTTGGAATCCCAAGACAGATAGAAAAAGCAGCCACAAAAGAGTAAGAGAAGCAAAGCAAAAATAAATATGACAAAGGCAAAGGGGATATAAAGCAAAAGGGGAGAGAAAAAGGGGAAATTTAAAGTTAGTTGCAATTAGATTTCTCCACCAAGAAAAGAACAAAACAGCTTAGACAGTCACCTGTTTTTATGCTATATAGAATATTCTTGCTGTTGTAGAAACAAAGGAATTGCTAACTGAACCGATAGTGAAAATGTGGAGAAGAATGAGAAATTAATGGTTCCCAAATCACAGAAGAAATGAGCTCTTACTGTCATACTAGCACAGGACTAAAACATCAAAGTGAAGATGTTCTACAGTGGAGATGCATTTATTAAAAATATTCTGGTGCTCTCCTGATGT